GAAGCCCCCCCCCCCCCCTCGCTCCTCAAGTAATGTCTTTGCGTCAAGTATTGCAGAATTCTTGCTTATTTAAGCAGCTCATCATCCCATTCGCCGAAAGTAGCATGAAAAATAAGTTATCAAGGATCCCATTTCCAGTAGTCATGAAAAAGTGGGTCAAAATCTAATAAAATCTTTATCTACTTAAATCTTATTTCGCTCTAATATCTTAAAAAATGTAATCCTTCACAAAAATTACGTAAGGAAAGGGTAATTTACTCTGTACTGAGGTCGGAAAAGCTCTGTATTCATGGAAAACAAGACACGTGATGCGCGATGACGGACCCCTCCTATTGACTCGGCGCTCTCACATTGGAGTCTTTCGCCTTTTGCTTGCTTTTATTTATTACTAATAATATAAGGCTTATATTATTACGGAAAAGTATTTAGGCAGTACGGTAAATTTATAATATTTTTAAAACTGCGCATCGTTGAGATTAAACAAAGACAAGCGGTTGTTGCGTCGGTAACACCGTACCGCGCCGCCGCGCGCGTCCCGGGCAGGCAGCGCAGCGCGCGGATCTACCTCAGAACGGCCGGCTCCCCGTCCCCCGATGGTTTTTCCCGTTTTCACGCCTATAATATCGATCCCACGGAAAAATTCATAAGAACCAGTTTTGTTCCTAATAAAATTTCCCATCCTTCTGTTGTAAAAAAAATACGCTAACATTCGCCGTTCCGTAGTTATTCAAAATTCAAAATTTGGGGGCCCCCTTGCCCCCCCAGGGGGCTCAGATTTTTGGGGTCTATGTCTAAATCGGATGTCTATAGGGTAGAGATGAATCCCTGAAATTTTCATGCTTTCTTCCAGAAGTGCACGATTGTTATGATATTTTCCACTTATCGGCCCCACTAATATAGCCAATATTTAACTGAGAAAATTTGTCTTCCTGATGTATTTATACATAAATTCTAACTATTTTTTAATGTTAAAGTGTATCCCGGTCAATTCGTAATGATACATTGCAACAGACGGGAACTTTCGGACCCGCGTAAGCTTGGTGCGTGGGTGCGGCATGTCACTTCAGCAGTGCCGAGGACGCGCGCGCGTTTCGCTATGGCGAGCCTGTTTTGCTCCTAGTATCTCTCGTTGCGCGCGCTATTCTCAGGTGTTTTACGGCTTTTGTATTGCACATACGACCAAACGGACGAAATTTTCGCCCTTCAACTCACAACTCGGCGTATTCCATGGGGAGACAGTGTTAATTTATCTTAAAACCTCAAACTTTAACTTAAGTCACTTAAGTTGTTTAAGCACCCGGTAAAAATTGTTTTTAATTTTTTTCCTTGCACGAGGCTTCAAATCTGTTCACACATCAACTTTTACGACCGGGCCCTCCTTCGAATTCGAAAATTTAAAAAATAAGAAACACCCTAGGGAGGGGCATGTAGAGGATTGAAGGCAGTAAGTTTTTCGATAAACTTTCCATTGTGCAGAGGATTAGAGGGAAAAATATTATGGATAAATATCCTGTAGCACAGGATGACAGTTTTTGATCAGAGTTTGTCAGACAGTGGGTAATGGGAAGAGAGTTTTTGGACGAGCTATTTTTAAATATTTATTTAAATTTAAAAATTGATAGTTGGTGAGTAATTGGAAACAAAAAATATCACTAGGATGATGCCCTCCCTCTGAAAACTTCACTTTTCCTCAAATCTTTAAACTTTTTTTAAAATGTATTTCCTTGCACAAGGCCTCCAATAATATAATAATAACAATAATATATTTTTTATTTGTAAATGCACATTTTTCAACAGCTAGAACAAATATGTCAGGGTTAGTGAGGATAGAAGAAAAAAAAGAAAAGAAAGGAAAAGAGAATACAGATTTTTTAAAAAAGGGCTCATGCTGAATACTCCGCTTCACTATAAAAACATTTTGCAATAAAGAAATTTTTTAAAACATTAAGAAAATTCGAGTCCCTGTATTTGCTTTTTAGAGCTAAGGGGAGTTTTTCAAATAGGATTTGGCCGCGCCTTAGAGAGTGGCTGTTCTTGGTGGCATTTGTCAAGACATGGAATCTAGTGTTGATTTTACTGAAAGCCACAGGAGCTAAAGAGGTTTCAACTATAAAATTCGAAATGGACCTATAAATTACGAGGGAGGGAACCGACAGAATCTTAAGATCAATGAAATGATTTTTGCAGGACTCTCTTGGAGAGTTTAGAGAAGTGGGGGGTGGTTCAATTTTGTGGTCGCGATAACTCGCGAAAATTACGAGATTTTCCCCCGAAATTTTTATGGGAGGTAGATCTTACTAAGTACTAGGCTGGTATTGAATTTGAGCGAAATCGGCCGCGCCGTTTAAAAATGGCGAGCTTTGAAAGTTTTAGACGAGGGGTGCACAGTGGGTCACGGACTGAAAGTTGGTGGACAAGATGGCAATGTTGTCTTACAGTGGGCCACGAACTAAAAATTGGTGGACAAGACGGCAATGTTGTCGCACAGTGGGTCACAGACTAAAAATTTGTGGACATCGCGGCGATGTTGTCGCACAGTGAGTCACGGAGATTGAGCCATCGTCATTCAAGCTTGCCACATCGTTTATTGAAATTTTTTCATGTCTAACATTACATGAGGGATTGTAATTGCAATCCGGCAACATGAAGTCCTCCAAATAATCAATTCCTCCAACAGTGTAAACGCAAATTTAACCTCATAAGATTGAGCCCCCTCCCTTCGGAAAATACACTCTTCCCTCGGTGGACGCGCGGGTCGCTTAAAGAGATAGAACAACTGAGGCCGGACACTCAAACTAAAAAGCGCGCATCAGGGGGGCGAAGCCCCCCAAATAAAACGGCGCGAAGCGCCGTTTTTTAATTTAGTGTAACTTGCTCTAGTAAAAGATGTTTCTTTGCTCCTAAAACTTAACAATCTTCCCCTTTTTTTGCAGAATATACCACCAGAAATTGTTGATTTTGTCAATCAATGCTTAAAAATAAGTGTGCATGAACGTCCAATGGCAAGTCAATTACTTGAACACCCAGTATTCAAAATCTATCCAAAGAAAGAATCAATAATAGAGAAGGTCCATTGTTTGAATATGGTGCAAGAAAGGAAACATCCCCTAGACGAGAGAGACCTGAATGAGATCTACTACTTGTGGCAACTGTCAGGCGGGGATGTAGAGGGGGAATTGAAGAGAAGAGGTCTGATCAAGAACAAGCCACCAATTCTATGTTTACCGCAGTAAGTAACATCAGAGTTTGGTTTCAACGCATAGCGGCAGAGCTGTTGGGATAGTAAATTATCACCAATGCAAATAGTTAATGGGTTTTTTCAAATCCGCTGTAAAAGATTTTTGCATTGTTTTGAACTAACTTCTAGTATGTTATTTCTTTGTATTGAATACCACTCCTTGCAATTTTAAGGTCTAAAACTACTTTCTTTCTATCCAGCAGTACTGATTAATGGAAATAGTATGATACTGTGCCCATCAAATGTAAAAAGATTTTTACATGTAATGTGTGCTAAAATTTTTCGAAATAAATGGTCTTGTGAAACAAGCCATAATAATGGTGATTCGCATAATTTAAAGGACCCTACAACAAAACGGCCAAATCGGCCTAAACACGGAATCGTACGATTTTCTCAGGGATGACAGAGGGTCTTCCCAGACACTCAAAACTGGTCATATTTTCTGCCTAACCCCCAGGGAAAAGGGGGGAGAGGGGGTCAAAGTCAAAACCTTTAAATTAGCATAACTTCTCAACGGTTTGTCGTAGAAAGATGATCTTGGTGTCAAAATTTCCAGAAAAATGAGA